GGAGCCCAACTGTTTCTCTCGGTGAGGGGGGGGCCTCGTTAGCGGCTGCCTCATTAGCGAACTCTTAATTGGCTCTAATTAGGGCGCCCACGCGCTCCCAGGAGGAGCCAGCTCCTTGCTTTACTCCTGGTTTACACAGCCCGTGGTAACCCCCGTGGTTGGGGGGGGAGATGTGGGGGGGACACACGTGGGACCATGGGGAGCCGGCCGTGACCTCCAGAGATGGACACGTGTGGTGGTGACGTGACAGCTGCGGCCACCAAGCTGGACATATGGGGTGGTGGGTCACCATCCGTGACTTCCCGAGCTGCACGCGCGTGTCGTCCAGGCTTGGACTTGGACATGTGTGTCCTCTTGCTGCGGACGTACGTGGCATCTAGACCCAGATATGTGTTCTCCAGACCTGGACACGTGTGGCCATGGATTGCCAGCTGTGTTCTCCAGACCTGGACATACGTGTCCTCCAGACCTGGACACATGTTCTACAGCCCTGGATACATGTGCACTCCAGACGTGTCCTATAGAGATGGACAGTCGTTCTACAACGTGGACATGTAGCCTCGACATCTGGACACGCGTGTCCTCCAGACCTCAAACTATGTCTTCCACAGCTGGACACCGGTTGCCTGTTAGCACCAGACACGGGGTTGCAGGTTGCCACCATGACCACCAGCACCAGACACCCAAGGCCGTGGGTTGCCCACCTGCACCAGACACGGGGTTGGAGGTTGCCATCATGGCCACCAGCACCAGACACCCATGGCCACGAGTTGCCCACCATGGCCACCAGCACCAGACACCCATGGCCACGAGTTGGCCACCAGCACCAGGCACCCATGGCCACGAGTTGCCCACCATGGCCACCAGCACCAAACACCCATGGCCACGAGTTGCCCACCATGGCCACCAGCACCAGACACCCATGGCCACGAGTTGGCCACCAGCACCAGACACCCAAGGCCATGAGTTGCCACCATGGCCACCAGCACCAGACACCCACGGCCATGAGTTGCCCACCAGCACCCAACATACGTGGCCATGAATTACCCACTGTGGCCACCAACCCCGACCCTCAGAACTTGGGCAACTTCCTCACCACGCCCATGGCGGCCATGATCCCCCCACTCCTCTCCCCAGCCCCACAGCCATGGTGGCCATGCCGTTGCCACGGGACGGTGGAAGGTGGCCACGTTTCACGGGACTTTATTCCAGGAGATCTTCCCGGTTGCGCAAGGAAGGCGGCGCGGGATGAGGGAAAGAAGACCCCTGGTATTTTAAGGGGGCGGGGAGAGGGGAGGAGTCTTCCTTCGGGGGGGCGTGGCTTCAGAGATGGCTGTTCCTCCTCATGGTGTCGTGGATCCAAGCGGTGAACTCGCAGACGCGGGTGTAGACGCCCGGCTTGCCCTCCTGCCCGCACACCTGCATGCCCCACGACACGATGCCCTGCAGCTCGTCCCCGCACACCAGCGGACCCCCCGAGTCACCCTGGGGGAGAGAAGCGACCAATGAGGTGATAGGACCGTGGTTGGGTCTCGTCAAATCCCGCCCAGATCCTTCGGGCCCCGTGGTTCTCCATTGGGCACTGCCACGCCCCATGGGGTCAAGGGATGGAGACCACCATGCCCCACGGGGTCAAGGGATGGAGACCACCACGCCCCACAGGGTCAAGGGATGGAGACCACCACGCCCCATGGGGTCAAGGGATGGAGACCACCACGCCCTATGGGGTCAAGGGATGGAGACTGCCATGCCTTATGAGGTCAAGGGATGGAGATCGCCACACCCTACAGGGCCAAGACATGGAGACCACCACACCCTAAGGGGTCAAGGGATTGAGACCACCACGCCCTATATGGTGCTGGAGCTGAGGCCCAGGAGGTCCCTATAGCACTGGGGAGGTTCCTATAGTGCCATGGGGTCCCCGTAGCACCCAGTGGGGCTGTAGAGTTCTTGGGGGGGTCCCTATAGCACCCAGACTTTCCTCTAACACCTTGAGGGTCCTCTAGTACCCCAGAGGTGGGTGCTGGTCCCCGTAGCACCTATGGAACCCAGGTGGTCCCTATAGCACCCTGGGGGGGTCCCCGCGGTGCTTGGAGGGATCCCTACAGCACATCGTGTCCCCAAGGCTCAACCACCGTGGCACTGGGTTCCTCTACTGGTCCTCACCGCCAAGCCCCGCCCCAAATTTCTTCTCCATTGGGGTCTCTCCTCAGGGATAGGGTGGGTGGAGCCAACCCCGCCCAGCACCTACCTGGCAAGAGTCGGTGCCCCCCGAGCTGACGCCGGCGCAGAGCATGTTCTTGGTGATGCCTTTGGGGTAGAGTTTGCCGCACTCTTCGTTGGGTATGGTGTAGACCACGCCGCACTGGAGAATGTCGGGGAAGTACCCTGGGGACAGTGGGACACGGTCAGGGGGGCCCGACACGCCCCTCGGCCCGGGAGTAGGGTCCCAGGGGAGGACGGAAAGGGTGGGACCGTCTTTCTTCTAGGGTGACGTCGGCCGTGACAGCCCGCCGTGGAAGGTGCCCTCAAGGTGAGGGATGACTCGTCACCGTGGAGGTGATTTGGAGTCTCCTGTGGTCGTGGCGTGGAACTGGTGGGGAATGGAGACCTCCAAAGCCACCCCC